ACTCTTCCAAAAACTTCTGAGAGGAAGGTATATAATTTCCAACTGACAAATGAAAAAAATGGGTTCAGAGATGAAGCAATATGCCCAGGGTTATATAACAGGCTTGGACTTGAGTTTTGCCATTCCCCTCCAGAGCCTGTATTACACTTTTAGCTGATAATCAGCAAATGGGCCCAGGGCTTGCAGTCTCCACCAGAGGTAGTTCCCGGGCCAGATGTGCCTGCATTCTGGCTGCCCTGCAGGGTCTGGTACTCTCCCAGGGTGTTCACTGGGGTAGGGGGGTATTGGCTCCTCTTGCTCCACTTTTCAAAAAGGCTTGTGACTTAACCCCTACTCCCACCACCCTGTTCAGGGCAGTGCCATTCACTGTGAGGATGTGTGTTCCGGAGTGTTGGTCACACATCCTGCTAAACTGATGGTGAGATACAAGTCACAAATATGGCCACTAATGTTGCTGGCTGTGTCCCAAAGTGGGGAGGTACAGTGGTATTACCACAGCGCTGGGAGGACTCTTTCCCTAGCCACTCACTCTTCCTAATTCTCATAGCTGCTGTCAGGCTTCTGAGATACCAGAGCCAAATGTGGGCCAGGGCCACCTAGTTCACTGCCATAGGAAGAGATTGCAAGCCTCTGACCCCATCCCCTTCCATGTGGACAGGACTACTACCCTTAGCCAGCTGCTTATTTCCATTTCATGAGCTGCTGCTTGTAACTTCCTTCTGTGGTGAACAATCACAGGGGTCTTTTTGTCTTTACCACTTGGTGGTGGGTGAAAAATCCTTTACATTTTTTTTTACATTATTATTTTTAAGAGTCTCACTCTGTCACCCAGGCTAGAGTGCACTGGCGTGACCAATATACTGAAACCCTGTCTCTACTAAAAATACAAAAATAAGCCAGGCATGGTGGCATGCGCCTATAGGGGAGGTTGAAACAGGAGAATTGCTTGAACCTGGGAGGTGGAGGTTGTAGATCCGAGATTTTGCCATTTCACTCCAGCCTGGGCATCAAAGCGAGAGTCCAACTCCAAATAAATAAATAAATAAATAAATAAATAAATATTGTCCTACTCAGCAGTCCTCTTTCAGGGGTGAAAGTGTAATATTGGGGTTTAGGGCTTCAGGGTGCCCTCAGCTCCCATGAGGATGTTTCTGCAGATTCTTTGTCTCCTGCCCTCTCAAGAATGAGAAAAAGGGGACCACGGTGCGGTGTGCAGTAAATGCTGGACTTAAAAGTGTTTGTAGAAAGTGATTTATTGAGAGAGAAACCAGAGGAGGAGAGAGAGAAAAACGGCTCTCACACTCAGTGAGAGAATCCAGAAAGATGGAATCCAGGAGAAAAAAGCAGCTTCCACAGTAAGTGGAAGGGAATAGAGAGAGAAAACGGATTCAGGAGGGGAAGAAAGGCTTCCAGAAGTGTGTGGAAGGGGACCCCAGAGGGGAAATCCAGGAGAAAGATGGCTTCCATGAAGGGAGTGTTCATGGAAGGGGACCCAATATGGAGTCCGAAGGGGTGTGGAAGAAGGGGACTTTTAACCTGGGAGGAACCCCCACCTTCTCTAAGACCCCTGGCCAACCAAAGTAGTTCCCCAGAACTTCCGCTGGAGTGATTGACTTTTAGTTTCTTCCTGTGCCCTCAAAATTGAAACAAACCATTAAATCTCTCGGATGTCGAGAGATGGGGGGGGGGGGGCATGGCGCTAGGAAGTTCTTGCCCTTAAAACTACACCCCCTTGTGGACCCAGAAAGAGAACACATTCCCTGAAAAGGATTTTCTACAGGAAACGTCTATGCAATTCTGCAAGGCTTTTTCTCCTCCTGTGAGCAGCTTATTTTACTATTTAAACTGCTGTCCAATAGAGTAGTTACTAGCTACATGTACCTCATTATAATTTAACTCACTTTCAGTGACATAAGCCACATTTCAAGTACTCAATAGTCACACGTGACTAGTAGCCACAAATTGGACAGCACAGATATGGAACACTTCTATCATTTCTGGAAGTGTTACTGTGCAGCGATGATGTGAAACTCTTTTGCAGAAAATCTGATTTGTTTTCTTGTTCTGCCAATGCGATAAAAATCAAAATATGCTTATTATTCATTTATTTTTTTGAGACAGAGTCTGGGTCTGTCTCCCAGGCTGCAGTGCAGTGGCAAGATCTCAACTCGCTGAAACCTCCGCCTCCTGGGTTGAAGCGATTCTCATGCCTTACCCTCGTGAGTAGCTGGGATTACAGGCATGCACCACCGTGCCAGACTAAGTTTTTGTATTTTTAGTAGAGATGGGGTTTTGCCATGTTGCCCAGGCTAGTGTTGAACTCCTAAATCAGTCTGCCTGCCTCGGCCTCCCAAAGTGTTAGGATTACAGGCATAAGCCATGCACCTAACATGTTAAACTTCAATGTTAAGTTGGTTGAAATATAGCACAGAGCCACCAGAGATTTTGGTGAGGCCAGCAAAATCTGCAAAATTTTTTTTCCTGGCTTTGCATAGTGCCTTGCAGATCACAAGAAAATCCCAGCATCTTTGCCTTGTTTTCCCTTTTGGAAAACAGAGACAGTCTTGCCTCCCTGGGGAATACTGAAGCTAACATAAGCCTTATGTACTTAACCACTGGTTGGAATGTATGTATGGACAGGTTAACTTCTGTATATTTGTCAGTCCACTTGCCTAAGAAATAAGGGAAAACTTTGCTTCACCTCTCAAGATTGTTTTTGAGATGGAATTTTGCTCTTGTTGCTCTAGCTGGAGTACAATGGCACGATCTTGGCTCACTGCCACCTCCACCTCCTGGGTTCAAGTGATTCTCCTGCCTCAGTCTATCAAGTAGCTGGGATTATAGTCAAGCACCACCATGCACAGCTTTTTTTTTTTTTTTTTTTTTTAGTAGAGACAGGGTTTCTCCGTGTTAGTTAGGCTGGTCTCAAACTCCTGACCTCAGGTGATCCTCCCACCTCAGCCTCCCAAAGTGCTGGGATTATAGGCATGAGCCACTGCACCTAGCCTGAATATTATTTTAAGTACATGAAGTCAAATTGAGTTAATGTGATAGGTCCTAGGAGAGAATCTAGCTTAGCCTTTTTCTGATGGAGGGATTACTACAAAAACTACTACCCTGGTTCTGCTAGCCTTTATTTTTTTTATTTTTATTTTTTTTTGAGATGGAGTTTCCCTCTTGTTACCCAGGCTGGAGTGCAATGGCGCGATCTCGGCTCACTGCAACCTCTGCCTTCTGGGTTCAGGCAATTCTCCTACCTCAGCCTCCTGAGTAGCTGGGATTACAGGCACGCGCCACCATGCCCAGCTAATATTTTGTATTTTTAGTAGAGACGGGGTTTCACCTTGTTGATCAGGATGGTCTTGATCTCTTAACCTTGTGATCCACCTGCCTTGGCCTCCCAAAGTGCTGGGATTACAGGCTTGAGCCACCGCGCTTGGCCCACCCTGCTAACCTTTAAACTGGTTTAAGAGCATCTCTGGGCTGGGCGCAATGGCTCATGCCTATAATCCCAGCAGTTTGGGAGTCCAAGGCAGGCAGATCACGAGGTCAAGAGATTGAGACCATACTGGCCAACATGGTGAAACCCTGTCTGCTAAAAATACAAAAATTAGCCAAGTATGGTGGTGCACGCCTGTAGTCCTAGCTACTTGGGACGCTGAGACAGGAGAATCGCTTGAACCTGGGAAGCAGAGGTTGCAGTGAGCTGAGTTTTTGTGCTATTGTGCTCCAGCCTGGCTACAGGAGTAAGACTCTGTCTCAAAACAAAAAAACCCCAGCTCTGGTTATTTAGAGAAAAGGAGCCTCACCACCAGCTGTAGCAAATTTAGCAGTGTCTCAAGAATCTGGCTAACTTCTCACCACCTGTTACTGAAGCCATAGCCCTCACTTCACTAAATCTTCCTTTTTTTTTTTATGTTTTGGAGATGGGGGCTTCTGTTGCCCAGGATGGAGTACAGTGGCGTGATCACAGCTTGCTGCAGTCTTGACCTGGGCTCAAGAGATTCTCCCACCTCAGTCTCTTGAGTAGCTGGGACTACAGGAGTGTGCCACCACATACAGCTAAGTTTTTTCTTTTTTTGAGACAGAGTCTCACTTTGTTGCCCAGGCTGGAATGCAGTGGTACCATATCAGTGCACTGCCAGGTTCAAGAGATTCTCCTAGCTCAGCCTCCCAAATGAGCTGGGACTACAGGTGCATGCCACCATGCCCAGCTAATTTTTGTATTTTTAGTAGAGATGTGGTTTCACCATGTTGGTCTCAAACTCCTGACCTCAAGTGATCCGTTTTCCTCTGTCTCTCAAAGTGCTGAGATTACAGGCATGAGACACTGTGCCTGGCCAACTAATTTTGTTTTGTTTTTTTTGAGACGCAACTTCACTTGTTGCCCAGGCAATGGCGATTGTGCAATGGTGTGATCTAGGCTCACTGCAACCTCTGCCTCCTGGGTTCAAGAGATTCTCCAGCCTCAGCTTCCCGAATAGCTGGGATTACAGGTGCCTGTCATCATGCTCGGCTAATTTTTGTATTTTAATTCATAGAGGCAGCATTTCACCATGTTGGTCAGGCTGGTCTCGAATTCCTTGACCTCACCAGATCCACCTACCTCGGACTCCCAAAGTGCTTGGATTACAGGCGTGAGCCACCACACCCAGCCAGCCAACTAATTTTTTATTTTTAGTAGAGACAAGGTTTCAACATGTTGCTTAGGCTGGTCTTAAACCTCAGTGGGCTTAAGTGATCCGCCCACCTCAGCTTCCCAAAGTGCTAAGATTACAGGTGTTGGCCACCATGCCCAGCCTTAAATCCTTCCTTCTATGTCTGTCTAAATTTCAGACCTCTAGTTTGAATTTTGTAGCTTAAGAACTAGGAAAGAATCAAAAGACAGTAGTGGCAAATGCCAATTACACAAACACAAAAAGATGCTTAAGAGTTAGAAACGTTTAAAGCTAGGAAAGAATCAAAAGACAGTAGTGGCAAATGCCAATTACACAAACACAAAAAGTTAGAAACGTTTATTTGTGAAAAAATTTTTAAAAACGGGAGGAGTGGAGTAAAACAAGGCTAAATTTCAGCTAATGCTGTACCACGATCACAGGTCAGACATAAAAAAACAAAACAAAACAACACCAAACCCCCAATGGTCCTACCAATTTCAGAAGATTTAACTTCAATGTTAGAGTCCAGAGCTAACAGAGAAGAGTAAAAGGCTGCTTGCCACTACATGGTCATTTTAAAGGGAAAGGAGATGCTGCAGGTAGTCAAGAGAGAAGGATTCAACTCCTAGGGAAAGCAAGATAAGAGAGGTTCCACTGCACAGGAAAAAGGGGATGCCAGCATAATCCTTACCTAGGGCTGCTCAGAGCCTGAGAATATAAGGAACAGAGTGAAAGGCTACAGAGACCAGTATCAGGAGGAAAGAAAAGTCAACTTAGAAGAATTAAGAAAGAAAACATAGTTGGTCACAAACTCCTTTTGTTTACTGAAACATGAAGCAATGGAAACATCCCGGCAAAGGGGACCGCGCGGAGCAAGTTCTCATATATGACCGCAGCCCGAGGGTTCAGTCCGCAATTATCCTACCTGAAAGAGAGCACAACACAAGAGGCTTACACAATGCCTGGAGAGCAGCCTGGCTCCGAGTACAAGGGCCCTGGGTCCCGTCCTGTATTGGGGGAGGGGGGAACAAAGAAGAAAACAAAACCAAGTCAGACTGGATCTAACTCACATCCCATGTAATTACCTAGGAGTCTAATAGCTATATATAGGAATCTACTTATGGGTACATATATAGGACAAGATGCAATCTAGCTGAAGAATGTGTTGGTGATAAATCTTTCTTATCCACCTTTTAGGCAAGATAACCCCTGTGACAGAAGTCTACTGTTGCTGCAACAAAGGGCATATATACATTATTATTAACTGCAATTTAATTTTGGGGTCCAGGAAAAGTAGAAGATGCTGAGATGTCTTATGTGGCCAATTGCACTATTCTAAATGTTTTAATCTTTCACAGTAAACAAGCTTTCAGAAATGATGGTCACAAGGGTAGGGCATCAAGGAGCAGCCTGTCATTCACCCAATTCCAACACCCCTACATGTCATCACACTCAGAGTTAGAGCCATAGTTCCAGTAGTTCCCCTAATTGACCAAATCTCCCTTGCCAAATCAAAAGAAGAAATCAATCCTAGAATTCTCTAATTCTTCTATTGATGATGGGAACTCCAGACACCAATGGCTGGGGGAAAAAAAAAGTTAACTCACACCAAGTTCCTCTACTTATTACAGACAAAGGGCCAAATCTTGGTCTTGATCTGTGCCAATCGACTTCAAAAGTTGTGACGTTCTTGGATCAGTTCTGCTAGGGTGAGACCCGAATTTGGATCCCAAACAGTTCTGTAGTATTTCATCCTGGCAGCCTCATTAACATCAGGCTCCTGGGACTGCAACCAACTCAGGGTTATTCAGTCCACTTGAGGTTCACACCTGGAAGGTAAGTTTCTTTAAAAGTCATCACTAAAAAGAGGTTAGTTGAACAACCACTGCTTGCAGTCAAAATTCATTTAAAAATGTCCTAGCAATACCTTTTGAAGACCACAATATATGAATTTAATATTTAATTTTGAAACACGCTTGAGAGAAACAGGTTATCTGATAGATTTATACCAGCTTACTTTAGAGGCATATCCCACCTCATGCTAGATCCAGCTGCATTAAAAGTAAAAATTAATGGCAAACTACAAATTTTAAGATCACTTCACACACATCAACACAGGCTTGCTGCTGTACAGTGGTCTCAAGAGATCTCAAGTCTTGGTGACATGCATATAGGGTACAACTTATTACAGGTTGTACCATATTTGCTTCTCAAGTCACATAAAAGAGCAAACTCTGGCTTTGTTTTTTAATTTCTTTTTTACTTTTTTTTGAGATGGAGTCTTTCTCTGTCACCCAGGCTGGAGCGCAGTGGTGCAATCTTGGCTCACTGCAACCTCCACCTCCCAGGTTCAGGCAATTCTCTTGTCTCAGCCTCTCAAGTAGCTGGGACTACAGGTGCCCACCACCATGCCTGCCTAATTTTTGGGCAGAACTACCTCCCGTAGTGCTGGGAGTACAGGCATGAGCCACCATGCCTGGCCTTTTTTTTTTGAGAGAGAAGCCACTCTTGCCCAGGCTGCAGTGCAGTGGCTAACTGCAGCCTCAAACTCCTGGGCTTAAGGGATCCTCCAGCCTCAGCCTCCTGAGTAGCTGGGGCTACAGGCATGAGCCACTGCACACAGCTGCTTTGTTGTCTTCTACATTTATTGCCAAATTGATAAGTTAGTAACACTAGAAACTCAGAAGTAACTCACTTTAATCTTGCTACTGGGACTCCAATTCAAGTGATGCTCAATTTCAAGGTACAAAGAAAACCATGAGAATATAAAGTTGTCATGATGCCATTTCCACTCAGATGAAAAGATTTATCCATCTGTAGATACTCAAAATTGCCATTCTAATACTTTTAGTACACATTTCCTCATGTAGGAAACAGCAAAATTTCAGTCTATGGAATTGGCTTTCATCACCTATGCAGTTTTCTACACATCTGAAAATTACCAGTTTATGTAATTTCTTAAATGTTCCTCACTTCAACAACAAAAAACACAATTGCTGGAAGAAATGGGAAGCATCAGGGTCTAAATGACAGCTTCACTGGCTGTGAAGAAACAGGGCTTATGTGCCCATATAGAACAAGATATTATGGATTACTAACAAGGACTCCATGAGACAGAACATCCAAACATTTATCCTTCAAGTAAATGTCTTAGAAGTAAACATTTGAAATTTAAAGGACTTCCTCTGGCATATAGGTATGATGTTAGAAGAGTCCTTTGAGAAAAGGATAATGACCCAAGAAGTAAATTTGTTTGAAAAAAAAAAAAAAAAGCCAGGTGCAGTGGCTCATGCCTGTAATCCCAGGAGTTTGGGAGGCCAAGGTGGGCAGATCAACTCTGGTTGGGAGTTCAAGACCAGTCTGACCAACATGGAGAAACCCTGTCTCTACTAAAAATATAAAAAAGTAGCTGGACATGGTTGCACGTGCCTGTAATCCCAGCTACTTGGGATGCTGAGGCAGAAGAATCTCTTGAACCCAGGAGGCGGAGACTGCAGTGAGCCGAGATTGTGCCACTGTACTCCAGCCTGGGCAACAAGAGCAAGACTCTGTCTCCAAAAAGAAAAAAAAAATTGCCCAGGCCGAAATCGCAGCTCACTGCAGCCTTTTTTTTTTTCTTTTCTTGAAACAGTTTTGCTCTGTCACCCAGGCTGGAGTGCAGTTGTAAGATCTTGGCTCAATGCAACCTCTGCCTCCCAGATTCAAGCAATTCTTCTGCCTCAGCCTCCCGAGTAGCTGCGACTACAGGCATGCGCTGCCACCACACCCAGCTTATTTTTGTATTTTTAGTAGAGACAGGGTTTCAGCATGTTGGCCAGGATGGTTTCGATCTCCTGACCTCGTGATCTGCCTGCCTTGGCCTGCCAAAGTGTTGGGATTACAGGTGTGAGCCACCATGTCCAGCCTGCAGCCTCTTAGAAGTCTTGGGCTCAAGCAATCCTTCCAACCTGAGCATTCTGGGTAGCTGGGATCACAGGTGCCCTCTGTTACACTTGCTAATTTAATTTTCTTTGTAGAGACAGGACCTTGCTATGTTGCCTAGGCTGGTCTTGAACTCCTGGGCTCAAGTGATCCTCTGCCTCAGCCTCCCAGTGTTGGGATTACAGGTGTGAACCACTGCCTCTGGCCTCAAACAGCAGCTTTATTAGCAAACGAAGACTAAAATAATAGTTAAAATTCTCACTGTGATATTCATTACTAACCCCTGAACATGGACCCTTGAGCGTACCACTACAGTACTTCTGTAGTAGAGATCATGGGGTTTGGAATCAGACAGGCCTGAGTTTGAATTCTAACTCTACCTTTCATTTACCAAATGACTTTGGGCAAAAGTAAACCTCTGAGCCTTAGTTCCCTTCTCTATAAAAGAATGAAACCTTTCAGTCTTATTGTATAGTTGATATAAACAGTGTACATATGTTAGATGTCCAATTGTTTTTCTGTAACCAAATATTACAACTGATTAAAGAATGTTCTCACTAACAAATTGATTTGTTGTTATCTCAGAAGGAACAAGTTGGTTGGGGTCATATACTAACACCTCGCCAGGCCAAATGGAACTTAAGGCCTAAGCTAGAGAAATACTGAAGACTAACATGTAATTTGCACCTTTTGGATACTGTCCAGACAGCAAACAAGTGGCTCTAACCTCCTCTATGAAGCATGGGTCTCTTGCAAGGGAACTAAATGGAATCTCTTAACCATACCCACCCCTCTCTCACCTCCAGTTTTTAAAAGGCCGAGTACCGGGCTCGGTCGACATACTGCTCCCGTTCATACCGGGCCATGTCATACAGAGAATTCCGTGTAGCTGCTGAAGCCTGAGATAACTCACTCTCTGGCCCATAACCGTAGCCCTCTCCAACTGTGGGGAGCATGGCTGCAGCACGACGCAGTGGGCTCCTGTCCCTTCCATAATAAGAGGAAGTGGTTGCAGCAGCAGCAGCCATAGCAGCTGAAGTGGCAGCAGCGCCAGAGTTTGACAGTAGGTGTCTGTCGTAGGGATCAACAGAAGTAGAGTTGAGGTGGCTGGTCACAGTTGTACTTTGGACTTGAGGCAGATGGGACATGGTCTGTTCTGCGTAGTTGTATGCAGAAGCTGCTGCTGCTGCTGCTACTGCCTCGTAAGAGCGGACCCGGTATCGCTTATAGTAGTCAAGTGCTCCATATGCATCGTTGTAATACATGGATTCCCCATAGCCCATGGTGTAAGGTGTGCGAACTGCTCCATACTGTTCATTATACTGTTCGGTAAAGTCTGCCACACGACCCGTACGATCTACTGGACACTCTTTGGACCAGTGCCCTTCTTTCCCACACCGATAGCAGCCACTCTGGTCTCCCATCCCAGGGGCAGTCCGAAGCCGGCTTGTGGACAACTGCACATGCATTCTTTTGCCTTGAAGAAATAGATGTAAGAAGACTTTATTATAACTCATTTTCTTTTTCCTCCCCAAAGGAAAGTAAATTAGTTGTCATAAGACACCCCCCACAACACACATATTCCTGTGACCCTATTTCAGCAACCTCCTTTAAAAAGTAGTTGAAGTTTTTTTTTTTTTCTTTTTGTGACAGTTTAGCTCTTGTTGCCCAGGCTGGAGTGCAGTGGCACAATCTCAGCTCACTGCAACCTCTGCCTCTTCAGGTTCAAGCAATTCTCCTGCCTCAGCCTCCTGAGTAGCTAGGATTACAGGTGTGCGCCACCACACCCGGCTAATTTTGTATTTTTAGTTGAGAAGGGGTTTCTCCATGTTGGTCAGGCTGGTCTCTAACTCCCAACCTCAGGTGATCCGCCCACCTCAGCCTCCCAAAGTGCTGGGATTACAGGTGTGAGTCACTGTGCCCGGCCAGTCGTTGAAGTTTTAATACAAATCAGAGCTAGAAAATTTGATTCTGCAGCGACCAGTCAATACTTTCTACTTAGGCCAAGAGTAGACCAGAATTCCTCCTGCTTCTGTCTCCACAACTTTCCTCTTTCCCCTCAAACACAAACACTGGAAAAGTTTTCTCACTCCTAAGACTTATAATGATTCAAATTCCGCCAGTACTTCCAAAATCAAATAACCAAAAAAACCTTAGTTATGCCAAATTTGGAAGGCACCTTGTTCATCTCTCACTGACTGAGGATCAGGTAGGCCTAAGCATTTATTGCTTAAAAACTACATCAATCGCCCGTCCATCTTGTTTCCTCCAGCTATTTTTGTAGATGTCACCAGAAGGCTCCCAACCATGGGTACACAAACCATACCGGGTTTGTCAATTGCTTCATCTCTAGTATCTCTGGGAGTTATAAGACCTTCCAGATTGCAACTCACCCTCATTCCCCACCCCAAAGCTACTGTGGAAAATGTTCTCACGAAGGTCTCTCAACAAGAAGAATCAGATTCTGAAAAAGTGCTTGTTTCTTAGGAACAGTGTGTTCACATGTAATGAAATAATTGGCATTTCATCCAGCAATGTAACTTACAATTCTTTATAGGGATTAACAACTAGTTAGAAAAATGCAGCATTTTTCGGCATTTTGGCCAGGCGCCGTGGCTCACGCCTGAAATCCTGGCACTTTGGGAGGCCGAGGTAGGCGGATCATCTGAGGTTAGGAGTTTGAGATCAGCCTGACCAACATGGAGAAACTCTGTCTCTAATAAACATATAAAATCAGCCAGGTGTGGTGGCACATGCCTGTAATCCAAGCTACTCCAGAGGCTGAGACAGGAAAACTGCTTGAACCCAGGAGGTAGAGGTTGCAGTGAGCTGAGATAGCGCCATTTCACTCCAGGCTGGTCAACAAGAGCGAGACTTTCTCAAAAAAAAAAAAAAAAAAAGAAAGAAAAGAAAAATGCAGCATTTGCCTAAAGGCCTCTAGGAGCCCATACAAATGGGCCACACCCATTTCCAATTCCGAAAAATGACCAGCACTGAGGAACCTAAGAGAAGAGAATAATCTTTGCCCAGCGATTGTGAACCACCAAACCCAGGGACCCTCACTCATGAAAGCATCTGAAGTCTTTAAAAGCAGGTAAATGAGTATTCCTGGCAGTATTTAGTACCAGATTGCATAACTCTCCTGGAGCTCAAGTCAGTGCCTTTCAAATTGTAGCCAAAAGAAAATGCACAGGAGGCTGAGGAAGGAGAATCACTTGAATATGGGAGGTGGAGATTGCAGTGAGTGGAGACTCCCCCAATGCACTCCAGCCCGAGTGACAGTGAAAGACTCTGCCTCAAAAAAAAAAATAATAATAATAAATGCAGTCAGCACAAATGCAGAGAATAGGGGCTTCTCATTACTCTTAAGGGCTGCTCAGAACAAATCCCCCCTCCATGATCAGCAAGTTGCTCTCTTTAACAGACCTTGTTCTGAATGCAGTTACGTGAGAGGAAGCCTTGTGCTCCACTATCCTGTAGGAAACAGCCCTATTCAGGATGGCAGCCTGAACAGCGCCATGCATTGACCCTGAGAGGGGAGTAGGTTAGTGCAGTAATATCATTTTAGTCCAATTTCTTTTGTCCAATGTCAAAGAATCTTATCACTCCAGTTTCTAGGAGAAACAAAAGTCCAGCTGCTAGCAGACAGGCAACATCCACTATTACTCATCCACTGATAGAGTCAGCAGCTACCAAATGGCACTAAATCTCAAAGCATTTTGCCATCTTCAGAGATTTAAATACTCCTAAATTCTTAGAAGGGCCACAATGTTAACTATGCTTTGAACAGAAACACAGATTTCTGCCACAATTTATATCTCAAATGCAGAGTTCCCTATAGTTTAGACTAAAGGATTATACTTGACTTTCAAATATACATGGTGACATTCAACTATGTGACAGACACAAACTATGCTCCAATTGTGAAGTCAGAGTGACTATGACAATCTAAAAAGGAGTCATTCCAGAGACCTAAAAGTAACATTTTTAACAAAAAATTTCAATTAAATTTGCACTTTACTTTTATAGATTCTGGGGTCCATTTCTTTGAGAAACAAAACCCAGCAATTTAACCCTGTTTTTAAACAAAATCCAATCTTCATTCCTGCTTTTATTTAGAGGGCGGGAACTCCAGTTTACCTGTGGCAAAAACTACCTGTGTAGTCATGAAAAGGATGCAGGTATCATTTTTTTTAACCCAGAAGTAAAAAAAAATCAATAATGGGAGCAATAGGTTCAAAAAATTTTTCAAACTAGTTTCTCCAAGCTGGGTGCGGTGGCTCTTACCTATAATCCCAGCACTTTGGGAGGCCAAGATGGGTCAATCACCTGAGGCCAGGAGTTCCGAGACCAGCCTGGCCAACATGGCAAAACCCCATCTCTACTAAAAAAATACAAAACATTAGCTGGGCACGGTGGCGCATGTCTGCAGTCCCAGCTACTCGGGAGGCTGAGGCACACAAATTGCTTGAACCCGGGAGATGGAGGCTGCAGTAAGCTGAAATTGTGCCACTGCACTCCACCCTTGGTGACAAAGCAAGACTGTCTTAAAAAAACCCCCAAGGCCAGGCGAGGCACGGGTGGGCTCACGCCTGTAATCCCAGCACTTTGGGAGGCTGAGGCAGGTGGATCACGAGGTCAAGAGATCCAGACCATCCTGGCCAACATGGTGAAACCCTGTCTCTATGAAAAAGTTAGCTGGGCGTGGTGGCATGCACCTGTGGTCCCAGCTACTCGGGAAGCTGAGGTGGAAGAATCGCCTGAACCCAGGAGGCTGAGGTTGCAGTGAGTTGAGATTGCACCATTGCATTCTAGCCTGGCGACAGAGCAAGACTCCATCTCAGGAAAAAAAAAAAAACCCACAAAAAACAAAACAACCAGTCTTTCCAATGGTTACAACTAGCCTTTTATGTTTATTAATTTTTTTTTTTTTTGAGAGACTCTTGCTGTGTCACCCAGGCTGGAATGCAATGGCGCAATCTCGGCTCACTGCAACCCCTGCCTCCTGGGCTCAAGCGATTCTCCTGCCTCAGCCTCCTGAGTAGCTGAAACTACAGGTGAACGCTACAGTACCTGGCTAATTTTTTGAATTTTTAGTGGAGACAAGGTTTCACCATGTTGGCCAGGCTGGTCTCGAACTCTTTGACCTCAGGTGAGACTTCCAAAAGTTACTGAAGTTTGTCCAACATTTTCAAAAAAACCAGCCCAATAAAAGTGTTTTCTTTTGAAAGCTATAACAGAAAAGAGCACTAAAATACTGAGAAGTGGGAAACTTGAGCTTTTAATTTCTGAGTGCCTATCAAGTGCCAAGATCCAGAGAATACTGGGGCTGTAGTTAATATACAGCAGTATTCTACTTAATGCTTGTTTACATATAAGGAAAAAAGTAAGACACCTGAAGCCTTACATATTCTTTCCAGTTAAGCTTCCTGAATTGTGATTTAGGAATAGCTTCTTTAGGCTTCCAATGCAAACTACATGCTAAGGAAATGAGTTCACTGCTGCCTGTAGAAAGGAAACAAAACAGATGCTGAAAGAGGTAAACTCAGATTCCACTACTTTCTTTTAGAAGTCATACAATGCAAAAAGCCTCAATGGCAGCCATTAACATATAGAAATAAAGGTTCAAAAGATGTCCAAGTGGCACTTTTTTCATATTTTTTTTGAGACGGAGTCTTGCTTTGTCACCAGGCTGGAGTGCAGTGGCGCAATCTTGGCTCACTGCAACCTCCACCTCCTGCGTACAAATGATTCTTCCGCCTCAGCCTCCCGAGTAGCTAGGACCACAGGCACATGCCAACACGCCTCACTAATTTTTGTATTTTTAGTAGAGATGGGGTTTCATCATGTGGGCCAGGATGGTCTGGATCTCTTGATCTCGTGATCTGCCCGCCTCGGCCTCCCAAAGTGCTGGGATTACAGGGGTAAGCCAGTGTGCCCGGGATTAAGTGGCACTTTTAAGAGACCACCTTCATTAGTAGACAACTGAAAAGAACTTACATTGAAAAATACATCAAACTGGTATCCAGATTGTGTTTTCTGTAAAACTACAACTTACTATCCAATACTAACCTTGCTCCTGTCATCTGGGAGAAAAAAAACCAGAGCTGGTTATAAAAATGTCTCTATCTATAACTTGGAGGAGAGTACTCTCTCCAGAGGAGCCAAGCTAAGAACCTGAAAACCAAATACAGGATTTTTCTTTTCCAATTCATTTTAGTGTCTGCACTTTCTTTTTCTTTTCTTTTTTTTTTTTTTGACAGTCTCAATCTGTCGCCCAGTCTGGAGTGCAATCGTATGATCTCAGCTCACTGCAACCTCCACCTCCCAGGTTCAAACAATTCTCCTACCTCAGCCTCCCAAGTAACTGGGATTACAGGCACTCACCACCAAACCCAGCTAATTTTTTGTATTTTTTTTTTTTTTTTTAGTAGAGATGAGGTTTTGTTATGTTGGCCAGGTTGGTCTTGAACTCCTGACCTCAGGTGATCCACCAGCCTCAACCTCCCAAGGTGCTGGGATTACAGGCATGAGCCACCACCCCTGGCCAGTGTCTGCACTTTCTAAGGAAGTAAAGTTTTAAAAAATCTTACGGATACATTGCATTATTCAGATACTCATTTCCGAAAATAATTACACCTGCCTTATTAAAACACGTATGTGGGCCAGGCACAATGGCTCACGCCTGTAATCCCAGCACTTTGGGAGGCCGAGGTGGGTGGATCACGAGGTCAGGAGTTTGAGACCAGCCTGGCCCAACATGTCTACTAAAGATACAAAAAAAAATTAGCCAGGTGTGGTGGCACATGCCTGTAATAGCAGCTACTCAGGAGGCTGAGGCAGGAGAACTGACTGAACCCAGGAGGCGGAGGTTGCAGTGAGCCAAGATCATGCCATTGCAGTCCAGCCTGATGACAGAGCAAGGCTCTGTCTCAAAACAAAACAAAACAAAACATCGCAACAACACATATTTATCCCACGCCAGCTACCCCCAATTAGCTGATTTTTTTTATACATCTTTTTGCCCTTTTTCTTTTATTCTGTTATTTTATATATATAATTATCTAATATATGTTATATATAATATATAATTATATTTTTTTATAATTATTTTTAATATAATTATGTATTTTTTTTTTCAAACGGAGTCTCACTCTGGAGTACAGTGGTGCAATCTGTGGTTAGCTCACTGTAACCTCCACCTCCCACGTTCAACCCATTCTCCTGTCTCAGCTTCCCGAGTACCTGGGATTACAGTCACACACCACCATGCCCGGCTAGTTTTTTCATATTTTTAGTAGAGACGGGGTTTTACCATATTGGCTGGCTGGTCTCAAACTCCTGACCTCAGGTGAACCACCTGCCTCAGCCTCCAAAAGTGCTGGGATTACAGGCATGAGCCACTGCGCCCAGCCTGTGTTAAATACAGTTAAAAGGCAAGGGCATTCTGTATATATTACTAGAATACCTCTGCAGTCTGTACCCAATTTTATATTCTTTTACATTTTGCTCATTACCTGTTAGGAGAAAACCCTCCTTCCCCAGTCTCCACTGTCCATCAGATAATCTCCCCATCAAATTAAAATAATTAAGAATAGTTTTAAAAGCTGAAGTGCAGCAACATTCCAAAATAATAAAAACATGTTAAGAAAAGCAAATAAATAAGGAAAGCGTCACTATCATACTTTCAATACATTTTTAACCAGAACAGCACTCACCTGTCGTCATATAGTGCTTTTACTGTCAAAACACTTTCACATCTATTCTTTCATTCTAGCCTCATTACAGTCCTGTGAGGGAGGTACAGTAGGGTTCATTAACTCGCAAGCTCCTCTACCAATCTCCACTATGCAGACTTTCTTACCCTTTGCTGGTCAACTTTTCCTCTTCTTCCATTATTTATTTTCTCATTCTGTTTTCTAGGTTTAACAGAGGACCCAAAAGTACTTAACAACCCCTTTAAAGACACCCAGGGCAGAAAAGGTGTTGACTTAGGAAGCACAAAACTCGCTATGAACGTGAGGTCCAAGACGATACTGTTAACAAAACACTTGTGGAACAATGCTATCCAAAAGAATGTTCTATGATTATGGAAACGTTCTGTCTTTACCAATATGGTAGCCGCAGGCTTCACTGAGTGCTTAAAACGAGTCTGGTATACACCTGAAAAACTGCATTTTAAATTTTATTTAATCTCAATTAATTTCGATTTACTAAGCCACATGTGGTTACTAGCACGGTTCTAGAGACTTCTGACAAACCTCTTGCGGTATTAGTGACAATGTACATACCTTTATTATCGGAATAAATAATATGATATGCTATAGGATGTTTTACTGGAATTTCTTCACAAGTGGGACCATCATTCTCATTCAGTGTGATGTATTTGGAAATTTCCTTGTTTTTCTTAGGGTTAAGTAATAGTAGGTGGAGCAGAACACTCCATGGCATGTTTTTTGACTCTGCTTGAATAGACGGCACAAATTTGAGCAACCAAAGATACCTCTCAGATCCGATCAGACTCGCCACCCAGATTTATGATATAGGGTTTCTTCTAGATACCTTTTTACTTCTTTCCCACAAGTATTCATCGCCTAAGGCAGTAAAGAACATAAATCTTAAGCATTTAAACCCTCAAATATAAGGCCTCCTGATCATAACCAAAGAAGCAGGTAACCCATGGACCTTGATCTTTCCTTCTCTCATAAGGTACTACCTCCCCAGGCAGATTACACTTCCAACAGCACTCAAATGAATGCAAGAATCCCGCAGGATAAAGTAACCTACAATTTGTGTTCCTATGTCTTAGCAAACCTAAAATCGCGAAGCGTTTGCTTCCCCAGGAGTAAATTATGCTGAACAGAGGTAAACATCATCTGTTATTTCCAGCTAAAACATAATGGAAGAAACCACCCTGACACTCCCATAGTCTTGTGTTCTTGCCTGTCTCAAGCTATACCCACACGGCTCTACTACCCAGGCCCCAGAGCAATTCACCTTGAAACTCTGTGTTGTCAAGGCCCCTGATGGCCTCCACTGCATCCTCTGCCCGCTCCATGTGTACGAAGGCATAATCTTTCACGATGTCACATTCGATGACCGGACCATACTCCTCAAACTTGGCTCGAAGCTCTTGGTTGGTACAAGTGGGGCTGATGTTACCCACGTGTAACTTGGTTGAAGCTTTGCTCTTATTCTTGCTGGCTTCCACGTTGATGTTCACCCCATGAAGCTTGTAATGGTGCAGGTTGCGTATGGCATCCTCGGCTGCTGTCTTGTCTTCTATGTGCACAAAGCCGTAATTCTTAATGATGTCACATTCCAGCACCTTCCCATACTGCTCGAAAAGAGAGCGGATCTCCTGCTCTGTGGCCTCCCGGGGCAGGTTTCCGATGAACAGCTTCACCATCCTGACAAGAGCCTGGGAGAGAAAAACAAGATTTCAAAAATCAGGGGTGTGGTGGGAAATTTCGGTGCAGTGCAGCATTTTCGTCTAATCCTCCAAAGTTCCGGCACCTTCAAGACCCTCACATAGACATTCGCTATTCTTCCTCAATAGAGGAAGGGCGGTTTGTTCTTGAGGAGTGCGCGCTATGTGTGACATGCAAACAGCCGGTCAAGGGTCAGCGTGCACAGGGCAGTCTATCATCTCCGTGAAATGGAGCGTAAATACCAGAATTAGCTGTTCCATGTCTTAAAATGAGGAAAGAGAAACGCCCAAGCAAAAGCAAGGAACAGTTATCGCAGTGAGCCTGCTAATAAGGTTTTGGAGGGAAATCTTCGTACCTCTCCTACGTGCGCTAGCACCTTTCAAGATACCCTAAAAAGAAAGAAGTCCCCTTTCCCCCAAACCGGGACTAACTACCCGCCCCCCAGCGGCCCAACCTCCAGCTCCTTCGCCCCAACAAAGACTCGACCCGACCCCTGCCCCGCCTCCTTCCGGAGACCCGGCCCCGCCTCCTCCCGTTGTCGTCCAGGACTTCCCGCAGCAAAACGTGAAACCCAAATCCGGACCATACTGTCTCCCGGAGGTCTGGCCCAGCCCGTCCCCAGGCTCTCCACATCGCACACACAAGAACCTCTCGCACCTCCGGGTGGCGGCGGCGGCGGCGGCGGCGGCGGCTCCCGCGTCAAAGCTAACCCTATAAAATGGCGACGGCCGCTCGAGCCTCGACGCTACCGGGCCCTTTCTCGCGCGCCAGCTCACGCACGCGCAAGTGCGCACTGCTTCCTTCCGCTTCACCTCGCGGGACCCAAGTGGCCAATCCTGAAGCTGAATACAAATGACCACGCAGCACGGGGGCGGGGCCCGCTGGAGGCGTTGCGGCTCCGTGGAGGTCAGCCCGCCCTCAGCCCCAGCCAGCCAATCACTACCCTGGAAGTGGTCGCCACTCCTGCCGTCAGAAGAGCTCTGGACGCCACCACTGCCTAGAGAAGTGGAGGCCCTAGGGAGTCACTCGCCATCACAATGGGTCGCGTTATTGGGCTCTGTGAGGGGGCGGGGTGCTGATGACAAAGGGTAATCTCTCCGAGTGCCCTAAAAAGGGGCTTTCGTAACGGGCTTTCCGGCCTTTGTGCAGCTTGGGGCAACATTTCAGAAACAACAGGCGCGCCACATTTTAAGCAAAACTAGTCATTGTTTTGTAGAGCTTTAAACATTAAAGTTTTTATTGCAGACGTGTTATTTAGGTACGGAAACTGAGAACCAAGGGACAGAAAGATAACCTGGCATTGCTACCCAGGCTACGCTTAGCCATGTTTTGTTTGCTCATGAGTATCCGTGGGCTGGTTCTCTCTCTCATTGTGTGTCCGTCACAGTCCTGGCCTGTGGTGAGCACAATAGAGGAATATTTGGTGGAGAGGCCCAGTGAGGTCCCAGTTTTGGGGTGGGACAGGGTCTCCTCGTCCACGCCAAGCTGGAAATGTATGTAACTGTGAGTTTCCCGACATACTCGAGCATTCAAAATTCACCTGTGGTCCAAGGGCACCTCCTGGCGGTAAAAAGAAGTTTAGACCGGCCGGGTGCAGTGGTCCGCGACTGTAACCCCAGCGCTTTGGGAGGCGGAGGCGGGCGGATCACGAGGTCAGGAGTTCAAGACCAGCTTGGCCAGTATGGTGACCCACCCCCCGCCCCCGCGTCGCTACTAAAAATACAAAAATTAGTTGGGCGTGGTGGCGCGCGCCTGTAATCTCAGCTACTTGGGAGTCTGAGGCAGGAGAATCGTTGGAACCTGGGAGGCGGAAGTTGCAGTGAGCCGAGATCGTGCCACTGCACACCAGCCTGCGTCACAGAGCGAGACTCGGTATCAAAAAAATAAAAAGTCAGGCGGATTCCCCACTGTCACCCTCCAACAAAGCATAGCAGTTTATGGAGATTGATGAATTGGGTTTATCTCCTAGTAGAGCCTGCCAGAGAGATTGTCAGTCACCATTCCCCATTGTAGTGGCTCCATAACGGTTTCTCTGATATTATCAGGCACACATTCCCCAGGCTGCCTGCTTCCACCCCAGCTACTTGAATATGTTCTTTCCCTGAGTTTTTTGTTTCTCAGCCATTTCAGAAAAGGCACTGTCCTTCCAATTTTATTTTTATTTTTTAAAAGACAGAGTCTTGCTGTGTCACCCAGGCTGGAGGGCAGTGGGGAGATCTCAGTTTACGGTAATGGGCGCTTCCCAGGTTCAAACCATTTTCCTGACTCAGCCTCCCAAGTAGCTGGGACTACAGGCATGCACCACCACATCTGGCTAATTTTTGTATTTTTAGTAGAGACGGGGTTCCACCATGTTGGCCAGGCTGGTGTTGAACTCCTGACCTCAAGTGATCCACCTACCTTGGCATCTCACACTGCTGGGATTACAGGTGTAAGCCACTGTGCCTGGCCCTTAACTATTATTTTTGAGTCAGTGTGTCACTTTGTCACCCAGGTTGGAGTGCAGTAACACCATTATGGCTCACTGTAGCCTCGACTTCCTGGGCACAAGTAATCCTTTCACCGCAGCCTCTGGAGCAGCTGGGACCACAGGCATGGGCCACCACATCCAGCTAATTTTTAAAAAATTTTTGTAGAGATTTTTTGGGGGTGTCTCATTATGTTGCCAGACTGGTCTCAAACTTCTGGGCTCAAGATGTTTCCACTTTAGCCTCACAAAATGCTGGGATTACAGGTGTGAGCCACTGCACCTGGCTTATGTGCTTCTAATTTAAAATAGCACTATCCTATGTTAATATCATCTAATGTTCATGCTCAGAATTCTCCTGGATTGTTACAAATGTCTTTTTACAGTTGATTTCTTCTAATCTCGACTTAAACGTGGTACATTTGCATAAATTATGTAAATAGTGTTTTTTGAGTTGTACAGCTCATTGTGCCTTACTGTTTTTTTACTAAGGGCTGTGTTGCTTCATGATAGCTAACTAGTGAGTAACGCAGTACTCCGTGGTGTGCAATCATATATTATACTTTTTTTTTTTTTTTTGAGACAGAGTTCGCTCTTGTTACCCAGGCTGGAGTGCAATGGTGTGATCTCGGCTCACTGCAACCTCTGCCTCCTGGGTTCAGGCAATTCTCCTGCCTCAGCCTCCTGAGTAGCTGGGACTACAGGCACGCACCACCATGCCCATCTAATTTTTTGTATTGTTAGTAGAGACGGGGTTTCACCATGTTGACCAGGATGGTCTCGATCTCTTGACCTCGTGATCCACCCGTCTCAGCCTCCCAAAGTGGTGCTGGGATTGCTTACAGGCGTGAGCCACCACACCTGACCTTTTTTTTAGAAAAGGTCTTGCACTGTCATGCAGGCTGGAGTGCAGTGGCACAATCAGCTTACTGCAGCCTTCAGCTCCTGGGTCCAAATGATCCTCCTGCTTCAGGATGCTGAAGCCCACAGCCCTCAGCCTCCCAAGTAGCTAGGATTATATGCCCAGCTAATTTTTTTGTTTTTGGTAGAGACGAGGTCTCACGATGCTGCCTGGGCTAGTCATACACCTGGCCCCAAGTGATCCTCCCACTTCCAGTATACTAGGGTTACAGGTGGCCTCTTGAATTTTCAAGTTTGTGCTTCTGTAAATTTCCTGTTCATATCTTTTGCCCATTGTTGTTTTCAGGTTGCAGGATCCTTTTTGTTGTTGATTTTTAGGGCTTTTTTTGTATATGCTAGATGTTAATCTCTTACTGGTCTCAAATATCATATCTCATTCCACTAATTATTAACTTTATCCATCGTGTCCCTCATTGAACAGAAATCCTTTTTTTTTTAGGCAATGAAATTAATTTCTATCTTAAAGCTGTGCTTTTGTTTTTTTTTTAATAGCCTGTTGCCCAGGCAGGAGTGCAGTGGGGTGTGATCATGGCTCAGTGCGGCCTCGACTTCTGGGGCTCAAGCAATCCTTCCTCCTCAGCCTCCCAAGTAGCTGGGACTACAGGTGGGTTCCACTATGCCCAGCTAATTTAAAAAATTTATCTCTGTAGAAATGGGGTTTTGCTGTGTTGCTTAGGCTGGTCTTGAATTTCTGAGCTTGTGATCCTCCATCTTACCTCCCAAAGTGCTGGGATTACAGGTATGGGCCACTGTACCTGGCTTGCTTTTGAACTTTTGTGTAAGATGTTCTTTTGTAGACCCTGCTGGTCACAAGATATTATCCAACATTTTATTCTATTATGTTTTTGGGACAGAGTTTCACTGTTGTCACCTAGGCTGGAGTACAGTGGCGTGATCTCAGCTCACTGCAACCTCTACCTCCCAGGTTCAAATGATTCTCCTGCCTCAGCCTTCTGAGTAGCTGGGATTACAGGTATGTGCCACCATGCCTGGCTAATTTTTGGATTCTTAGTAGAGACGGGATTTCACCATGTTGGCTAGGCTGGTCTCGAACTCCTGACCTCAGGTGATCTGCCTGCCTTGGCCTCCCAAAGTGCTGGGACCACAGGCATTAGCCACCTAGCCCAGCCTATTATGTTTTTTACCTTTTGCATTTAGATCTGGAGCTCATTTAGAGCGGTGCTGTCCAATACAAATACAATGTAAGCTACATATGTAATTTAAACACTTCCAGCAAGCACATGAAAAAAAGGAAACAAAATAATTGAAATTCACTTTAATGATACTTTTGAAACCCAATTTGTCTAAAATATTATTTCGACACATAATAGAAACATTGAGATATTTAAAGTTGTCCTCTTCCATGCTTGACACCCGGTGTTTTACAGTCATGGCACGCTTGGTTTGGCTACATCTCAGTAGCCACTCATGGCTGGTGGCTGCGGCTTTGGACAGCAGAGACCTAAAGTCCACTCTTGTAGGTAATGTTAAGTAAGAATGCAAATATATTTTTCTCTACATAATTTTTTTTTTTTTTGAGACAGGGTCTCGCTTTATTGCCCAAGCTAGAGTGCGGTGGCATGATCTTGGCTCACTGTAACCTCTGTTTCCCAGGTTCAAGCAGTTCTCCTGCCTCAGCCTCACAAGTAGCTGGGACTACAGGCATGTGCTGCCTTGCTTGGCTCCTTTTTGTAGAGATGGGGTTTCACCGTGTTGCCCAGGCTGGTCTTGAACTCATGAGCTCAAGTGACCCACTCACCTCAGCTTCCCAAAGTCCTGGGATTACAGGTATGAGCCTCCATGCCCGGCCATCTCTCTCCATTGATTTGTGGTGCCCGCATTCATTGTGTTTGTGTGTCTAACTTGTCTCATATCCCTCACCGCCCCATTCCATCCTGTTCTTTTCTGGAGCTTTTTCTTTTTTTCCTTTCTGCTCACAACTGAAGGTGTTTTCTGACTTGCTTCCTGACCCTATGCTTACCTTCTAGGTTCTGTCCTTAAGGAATCGTGCTGTTAAGAGCTTCAGCTGCCTCGCGTGTGCAGAAGCTGCTTGGAGCCTTCAGTCTCACCTCTGTTCACAATGCCTGCCTTCTGCGAGACTGCTTCAACTGGCTGCCCTCTTTACACTTACATGTCATGTTAAAATGAGCATTTCTCCATTAATTTCTCCATATACATTTCTTTCTAACATTTCCAATTATTGTTTCCCTTCAACCTCAGGCTTGCCACCTGTGAGTGCAAATACCTAGATTGCCCAGCACCCGCCCCAAGGTCTGACTGTCTCTTCAAACTGGGGATTTTACAGGTGTACATGAAGAGAAGGCGCCTGTGTAGTGCTGATGGATTGTTCCACTTATCCCCACAACAGACTGTCCTGTACATGTATCCACCTGTTGGTTGTGGAGCAGTAAACCTACCCATAGTAAGGGGAGATGACCCTGCAGGCGTGCTGGTCTACTGATGTCCAGTTTGGAGCCCACTCTGCGTTGTGCTGTGTAGTTCTGGGCATGCACAC